ATATATTGATTACTTTTATAATACATTTGATTTTGTATAATATGATTAAGATTTTATAAATTTAAAGCTAATTTTATATCTTTGAATAAATGAACTTTGTTATAAATTATATAAAGTTTCAATATAAAAATCAGCAACATGATGTTTTCTTAATTACATCCTATTTAATTTCCATAACTGGTTGTTCTTAATTCTTCTTTTCATTTATAAATTGCAAACACATTTTACCCAAATATTCTGCTGCTTCTAAACAATTTGTATTCATTTTTGCTGATGTTTCTATATAATGCATGCCTAAACTTTATGCAAAAGAATAGGCTACATCATATGATATTTGTCTTTTTGATTCTAAATCACATTTACATCCAACCAAAAGAAATTATATTTCTTAATTCATATTTTTGATTTCATCCACGGTTTCTTAATATAATAAGAATAAATACTTTAATGCCAAAGTTAAACCTCAGTAAATGAGACTTCATTAGAAATATCAAATACTAAAAAGATACCATGAGCATTTCTATAATATGATTTAGAAATTGCTGTTCTAAAGCGTTCTTAACCAGCAGTGTCCCAAATTTATAATTTAACTGGTTAATTATTGATAAACATTCTCTTTACGGCAAAATCAACTCCTATAGTAGCAACATAATTATCACTAAATCTATCTTAAGTTAATCTAGTTAAAAGGGAAGTCTATAATATAATTATTGTAATTACTTTTCCTGCTCCTGATGGTCCAAGAGTAATTATTTTAATCAGTTGATCTTTTATTTGTTCCTAATTTTAATTAAAAGACATTGAATAATTATGGAATTATTTTATTATATCTAATTTATCATTCAATATATCCCTTTGAAACACTTAGAATAAGTTTTCATCAGAATTTAGAGATTTAAATAGCTGAAACTTAATAATTTATTTAATTATGTATTTCATCATAATGATATTAGACATTCTATATATAATTCTGATTAAATACTATTAATTTTTAAATTAAATACTTATAAGAATAGAACATAATTATAAATAATATTAATATTATAATAACTCATTAATCATTATTAAGTATCTCTAAAGGATTTCCTACTTTTGATACTCTGCCATTTTCAATTAACATTATTTTATCATAATTTCTTATACTTTATGTTTTATGTGCAATAGTAATAACAGTTTTATTCTTTAATTTTTATAAAAGGATTTCTTCAATTAATAAATCAGTTTCAGAATCAAGATTAGAAGTTGCTTCATCCATAATTATTATTGGTCTATCCTAAAGTAATACTCTACTTAAAGAAATTAATTATTTATGACCCTAGGATAATTCTCCAAAATGAGAATTCAATCCGTTTGGTAAACTTTATACATAATCATATAGTCTAACATCTCTCAATATATTCATAATATCTTTATCACTATGTTAATTAAATAAGTCAATATTAAATCGAACAGTGTCATTAAAGATAATTGGTTATTATGGTATAATACTGATATTACTCCTTAAAATTGAAGGACATATATCTCTTATGTCAAAACCATCAATCTCAAATCTATCTGCTTTATCTATATCATATAATCTAAATATAATTGAAATGATAGATGATTTACCAGCTCCTGTACGACCTATAATTCCTACTTTTTCCCCTTATTTAATATTTAATGTTAATCCATTTAATGCATAATCTTAATTATATTTTAAATAAACATTTGAAAAACTTATATTTCCTTATAAATTTATAGTTTTTTTTTAATTTTTATTATTTTCTTCTTTATCTATACCTATTAAATCTTGCATTCTATCTACACAATTAATTTAAGTTATAAATGATAGATATTATCTTAAAAACCATTATTAATTTTCATTAAAAATCATAAGCAATAATAATGCTTGTGTAAATGTCTCATTTTTATTATAAATACAAATCATTATTATTCCACATTATTAAACTATCAAACCTAAAAAGTCTATGCTAATACCAAATAATCTTTATGCATAATAATAAGTTGTATTAGAAAGAATTGCATTATTTGTAGCAATATTAAATTATTACAAAAAATATCCTTATTACTCAAAAACATTTATTGTTCTCAAACCTGTAATTGTTTTTTTAAATAAATCTAATAAAGGACCTTTAGTTTATTAATCTAATTCTTAAGATTTCAATATTAAATTCCTATAATTACTAAGAATATATTAATTTAGAAGGATTGTTACAATCATTATGTAAATGAAATGAGTTTATAATATAACTAAACTAAATAAAGAAATTAAAAAATATGATCCAAGTTCCCAAAAATCAAATAATGTTACTGAAATCATATTATCAGCCAAACTTAAATCTGTACTGAATTTAGTTAATACTTAACTACCAACTGTTTAATCAAAATATGACATCTTTCCTTATGATATTGATTAAATCATGTTATTATGAATATGAGAATTGGCAGATAAACATCCATAAGAGTTTAAAATATACTTTACATAATTATTTACAAATGCCAATATACATATTATTATAATATATCTTATCTGTTCATCATAATTATCACTTTTAATTAATGAAATTCCATTATAATAACAATTATATAAAATTTCTGATAAAAAATTTAATAATACAACTAAAACTACCAATATTATACTTAATATCTTATTTTTAGTCCAATATCTAAAATAATATAAAAATTTATTATCTTTTTTAATCTATACCTTATTTTAAATTACTTAATTTTTATCAATAGTTTATTATTAAACAATAGATTCATTTTTAGATATATTTATTAATTTAAAATCATTAAAGTTTTCATTTAATTATTCAATTAATTATCCATCTTAAAGAAGATAAAATTTTAAAAATTAATTAATTATAGCTTATGAATGTGATGTCAAAACTACAGCAGGATATTTATTAGTCTATAAAACATGATAATTCTATAAAAACACTATTAAATTTTTATATATCTAAATTTATATTGGCACATCTAATGAACTAAATGGATCATCCAATATTAATATATCAGATAAAGAATATAATGCTCTAGCTAAAGCTATCCTTGTTTTTTAACCACCTGATATAGTTGTAACTCTGTCATTTATTACAGTTTTATCTTTCTATTACATTTTTAATATGTCTTCTTTTAAACAAGTAACTTCAATCACTTTTTAGTATAATTCTTCAATATATAATTTACCAAATGTGATATTATTTTAAATTGTATCCTCAAATAATATAGGATCTTATTCAACATAAGATTTAGTTAAATGTTCCTTCTATGTCATTGATCCACATAAAGTTAAAGGACCATCATCTATCAAAGACAACAAAAATGAAGTTTTTCCACTACCCATTTTACCTGTTATAAGTATAAAGTCTTTTGGATTGATTTCAATTGATATTTATTTCAAAAGTGATTAATCTTATTTCCAACCTATACTAAAATCATTAAATTTTATAAGTTATGGAGTTTGGTGAATTTGAATCTATTTATTTTTTATCTTTAGATTATTGAATATATCAATATATCTTTGAAATATCATTTTTATATTTAAATAACTCTAAATTCCATAAGATACTTATTACACACAACTAACCTTAAAATATTATAATTATTAAATTGTAGCTATTAAAGAGGCACTATTTAATTCATAATTGAATAAATAGAGAATAACAATAAATATCATTGATGCCCATATTTGAGCAAAAAAATTCAAACTTCTGTCTATTAATTAAATCATTTAAGATTTGAATAAATATTACTATTCTCGTTTTCTCACTTCTAAAATTCTTTCATTTAATTTATATTCTACATTATACATTTTTATGACTTTTATATTGTCTATATATTCAGATTATAACTTAATTCTTTTATCTTACTCTTGTTTGTATAATTTTGTATATTAAATTGATTACTTCTAAATAAATATCTATAATGGATAGATAAGCATTATAATGAATAATGGAATCAGACCTATCAAACCATTAAATCTAATATAAAGTATGAAGGATCCAAAAATAAATGATATAGGCATCACAAAGATTTAAAATATAAGCATAAAATAATATTCAAGCATACTTATATCTGCTGTTGCCAGTCCAATCAGTTTTCCTGTATCTATAGTTTAAGTTTGTACTTTAAGTAACTTTTAATATAGCATATTCAATAAAGTAAATCTTGATTTTGCTGAAAATTCCATACTTTTGGTTATGGCTTGATGTCTACTTATATTAGCGATGCAACTTACTAATATAAGTAAAGCTCCAATATATATGGAATTTGGTGATTAATTTAAAATATTAGATATAAGCAAACTCATAATTATTGAAACAGCATTTTTACTAATGCTTTCCAATATATAAAAAATAAAAACAATCATTGTTTAATATTTGAATTCCTTAAAGAATATAAAATATGTTATTGATAACACAGTATTAAATTAGATATTAGTTAAATCTAAGTTTTAATCCTTTATTTTTAAATGCTCCTAAATTATTGGGAGTCTTTAAATTTTTAGACTCTTATCTTAATTTAATGTCTCCTTTATTTATTTAAATCGTTTAAATAGCTTAACAAAGAGTATATCCATATTATTGTAAAATTTTATAAAAGAAATTATTTAAAAAAGAATATAATTGTATTAGTTATTAATTCGAAAGATTGTAATATTTACTTATTTATAATCTTTTTATTAAATTTTTATAACAATTATAATTAAAATACTTCTCATTAATATCCTATAAATTATTTTTCCATTGATAAATCATTAATTTTTCATTGAAATCTTATAATTTAACTTTTATTAGATAATATTTTTATCTTATATAGTATTAAATAAATCTTATATATAAAATATAAGTTTTTATTTTTAAGAAGTTATTTTATAATTTATGGTTTTAATTATTAATATTCTTTTATATTCAATATTAAGATAATTAATAATTAATATATTAAAAATAAATTTAATGATAAAATTTAATAATAGTGATACTCTAATTAGTAATTAATCATATATCAATAGTGAATTAAGATACTTCCTATTTACTATCAATTAACCAAGGATGATTTAGGGCTTGTCGAGCATTCATTCTATTTTTAGGGTCTACATGTATTAAATTTCTTATGAAATCTCTTAATTCTTAAGAAAATTTATTGGGGAATCTGATATTTCCACTTATAATCATATCCTACATTTCTTGATATGATAGATCTTCCCAAGGAGTTTCTCCAGTACATAATTCATATGCTAAGACTCCCAATGACCACATATCAGTACTTTTATCATAGTTTTCTCCTTTGATGATCTCAGGTGATATATATGCTAATGATCCACATTAAGTAGATCTTTCTTATTAAGGAGAGTAGATTGAATGAGTAAAATCAGCCAATTTAATTTGATTGTAACATAAAAATATATTTTCTGGTTTAATGTCTCTATGAATAATTCCATTTCTATGTAGATAATTTAAGGCTGAAGCTACTTATTTAATGTAGAATGCTGCCACTTATTCAGTAAAACATGTTTCTGGTAGTGATCTTAATAATTTATGTAATTGTCCATGACAACAATATTCTAATACTAATACAATATCAGTGGCTATGATATAAATAATAATAATAACTTGTGTGAAAGAAAGTATATAGTTTAACAATATTGGGATGATTGAGAAGGTATTAAATCTTTAATTCTTATGCAATACTTTTCCAAATAGAAGAAATTTATTCTTTTTTCATTATTTTAAGTGCGACATGTATTCCAGTATTGATTTCACAAGCCAGTTTTACTTCACTATATTTACCTTTGCCTAAGAATTATAACATAGTATAATTAGATAATTATTATGCTTTAGGTAAAATAGTCTTATTGAGCATTTTCTTAAATGTCTATTATTCAGTCTCATAATCTCTTATATGTAAGACATTTTTATTGATTTCAACCAATTTTTGACCTGAATTAGCATTAGATCGTATTCTTTTTTATGGTTTCTCATTTTAAGTGGGTTTTCTCTTGATTGTTTTGAGTAATGATTCAATAAGTTCTTTCTAGTTGATTTTATGATCTAGTATATCTTATTGAGTGTGTAAAGGTGAGCTGAGTTTATTAATTAAAGTTATTCGATTGCTTGAAGCAGATCTTGAAGTTGGTACTTTATGCATTATTATATTAACGATTAGAACACACAACTAAAAAAATATTAGAATTCAACTCTATATTAGAAATCTAAGTTTCTATTTGTTATTATTTATATATTCAAATCAAAAGAACATCATTAGTCAATTAATTTTAGCTATAATCTAGTATGAAGATAGGAGAGTTTAAATTTTGAATGATTGAAATTGAGAGATAGGAATAGAAAATTAAAAATGCTTTGTTTAATAATAGAGAATGAAACACAATATAGAGATTAAATGATATAATTTTCATTTAAGTTTGAATTAGTAACAATATGTATAGTTCAAATTCATTAATATATTACTAACTTGAAAAATGATTATTAATTTCAGATCTTAGAAAGTGAGATATTGAGACATAAGTATCATTTTTGGATTATCAATTCAATCATCTGTTATTTAATACAATATTGTATATTAAATAGAAAATGTAATCAGAAAATATGATGATTATTTAATATTATGATACAGTATTATTTTTGATTGAAATAAACAATTCATTTTAAAGACAACCAGCATTTAATTGATATCTTTTGTTAATCTTGTATAGGTAGATCTAATTATACAATATTATATTATATGATTTTATTAAGTAACAAATAATAATTCCCTCTTAAAATAGTTACTTTTTGTATTTTTAAAATACGTTATTTTTTCCACAAGATATTTATATAATTTCTATGAGTCATTTCAATAATATTATACTTAAGAATATCAAGTTTCAAGTAAAAACTTATTCAATTTTAAAATAATTATACTAATATTAATAATTAATGAAACAAGTTGTTTAATCTGCAAGACTCCCTTCATCCCCTGTTTTCCATAGAAAGAAACCTACTGAACTTTAAAACCCATTGGAGAATTTAGTTAGAGTGCAATCGCCTTGCGGAAGTACAACAAATAATGCATTTGGAAGATGTCCTACAGTGAAGACATTGAATAGTGATAGAGATCCTATAGAGCTTACTATAACATTAATGTTAGATGGTTAGAAGTAAAAGGAATAATGAACATAGATTGATTGTTCCAATAGGAATATATCAAAGTACCACAGACTTATATAAGAAATTAATAGGCAAAGTGAATTAAGTAAACCCTACAATAGTACATTCAATTAAACATTTTCAAACACATAGTAGTGTTAAAAATTACAATATTGATTATTATTTATCACTTGAACATCATCCATTAGATGTATTTATTGAATAGAGACATTTGAAATTGGAACCTTATATTTCAAAAAATGTTAATAGCTAATTGAGTATTGATGATTTTGAGATACTTAAATGCATAGGAGTTGGGTATTAATTCAAATATGATATAATATAGTGGTTTCTCACGTGTTTATTTAGTTAGAAAGAAAGATAGTGGATATTTTTATGCAATGAAATTGATTGATAAGAATTTCATTTTGAATTCAAATAAAGAGATAATTATTAATAATGAAAGATAAGTTATGGAATAATTGAATTCTTCATATTTAGCCAAATTATTCTACTCTTTTGAAACCAAATATTATTTAGTCTTTGTTTTAGAGTAATATTGTTATTTTATTATTTAGATATTGTGCAGGAGGAGAATTGTTTTATCATTTGAGAAAACTAAGAAGATTAAATGAAGAATTAGCAAAATAATATTTTGTATAGGTATGTTTGGCAATAGAAGAATTACATAAATACGGTGTTGTTTATAGAGATATTAAACCTGAAAATATCTTATTAGATTTAGATGGATATATTCGTTTATCTGATTTTGGTTTAGCTAAACCAAATATGGATAGAGAAGAAACAGCATATTCTTTTTGTGGTTCTCCAGAATATATGTCCCCAGAGATGTTAATGAGAAATGGCCATAACTTTATGGTTGACATTTATTGTTTAGGGGCTTTACTATATGAATTTATTTATGGATCTCCTCCTTTTTATAGCAGGAACATAGAACAAATATATAATAGCATATTAAATGATAAAATATCTTTTCCTCCTTTAGTAAAAATTAATCCAGATCTTAAAGATTTAATTTCAAAATTATTAATCAAAGATCCCTCTATACGTCTAGGGTCTAAAAATGGCATTAAAGAAATCCTCTAACATAAGTGGTTTAAAGGATTTGATTTTGAAGCCTTGGCTAAAAGAAAACTTAACATTAGTTATCGTCCAAAACCATTAAGTTATAATTTTGATGAAGTTGAATTTAGTAAAGGAGATATTGAATTTTAAAACAAATTATATGAAAATTTAAAGAAGGAGAAACAAGTAATTAATTTTTTATATTTAGACTAAATATTCTCGTTATTTTCCTAATTTTGAGTATACTAATCAGAAATTGTGTGATACTAGACAAGCCATATTATAGCTAATGTTGACATAGAAATAGATACAAGGATAATAGGGATTGCCAAAACCATAACAAAAAACATTAATTTCCTTATCTCCAGTTTAAATGGTTAAAGGATTATCAAATATCAAAGCATTAACTTAAAGCTCTTTTAAATAGTTATCATAATGCAAACGTTTTAACACTGAAGTAGATATGAGTAAGTTAATTAAGAAAATGTGAAATAAAGTTTTTTATTTAAATTTAATTAATCAAAATAATCTATGATCAATATTATTATTATTTCCATTTTTATGTTCATATTTATCCTCTTCTTTCTAATAAATCTAATCTTAGACTCAGATAGAATTTATTCAAAAATATTATTTTCAAGCTTTTGATTTATTTCAGTTCCAAAGTCACAATAGATCCTAGATAAATTGCAATTTAAATTTAGGACTATTGATTGGATACAATATCTTATGATATATATCAAAATAAAAGTATTTATATTTATAAAGGTAAAATTAATTATAAAATCTGAATAAGCTATATTATCTTATATTTGATGATATTTCAATTATCTCTACAAATATCAAAGCTTCAACTACTTAATTTTACTGCAAAAATGTCTTTAATCATTAAGTTGAAGAAACCTTAAAGTTTTATATAAGTAGAATTGATAAAAATTTTGGCTGAGCATCTAATTTACAATAATAATAAATATGCATATAATAGATTTTGAATGAATAAACAATCAGATTATTGTTTTAAATTAATCTATGAAATCTCTTTCTTCTAAAAATAATTATATTATGTATATTCAAATACATATTATTTTTTTTGTAAATATATGCTTTTAATACAAAAAATCTTCTATTAATATTAAGATTTTAATAATTTGATAAAATGGAATAAGTTTTTGCATATGCGAAAAGCTAGTATTGTTTGAAGCATCAAAAATAAATATCATTAGTTAATCTTGATGTTGCATCAGAAAAAAAACTAGATGAATTACTTCTATGCATAGATTGCTAGAATGATTCTGCGTATATAGTGACATTACAAGAATTTGAAGCTTCATTTAATAGGAATGATTAAAATTTCGTACCCATAGAAGTTTGTGACAGGCCCTTTGAAAGAATAAAAATGTTATTGAATGAAGTTTCAGTGAAACTTTAAAATTAAATAATGAAGGTTTAAAAATAGTTAGAAACTCAACGAAGAGCTCTGTATTAAAAGACTTTGGAGAATCTAATAAAGCAAAGCTTTAGTTAAGAAAACACTAACAGTTAAATAATGTATAATGAAATTGGAAAAATCAATCTTGATTTTTCAACGAAAATTATTAAGAGTTTATAAGATTTATTAAATTTAGAGGAATTCAAAAGATGCAAGCAAGAAATAGAATAATTAAAAAATATCTTTGATGATAATTATATAAGGAATTATTAATAATAATACTAATAATAATAACAATAATAATAATAATAACAATAATAATAATAATAACAATAATAATAACAATAATAGCAACAATAATAATAATAGCAATAATCATAATCATAATTATAATTATAATCATAATAATAAAAATAATTATTATAATAATCACAATTATAATCCTCATAATAAGGTTTCATTTTTGAAAATAGGGAAATTGCATAGTCCGAAATATGTTATTCAATTTCATTCAACAGCACTAACACAATGATGATTGCTGGATGTAATAATTATATCAAAGTTTGGGAGTTTAGCTTTGGATTACTAAGTTTTCTTGAAACTTTAGATGCTCATAAATATACTGTCACTAATTTATTATTCAGTAAATTTAAAAATAATTTCATTTCTGGTTCAAAAGCAGGAGACTTGATATGTTGGAAGTAATAGAATAATTAATTTATAAAATCATTAGCTTATGAATATCACTAATAAGGGATAAGCTGTATGATTTTAAATAAGGAAGAGAATTTACTATTTACAGCTGATATGGATAGAGGGATCATAATTTGGAAGGCATTCTTGGATAGAAATGAATTATCCTTCCAGAAAATATTAAAGAATCATACTAAATAAGTTAATGGACTCAGTCTGAATGATTCAGAAACTATTTTGGTTTCTTGTGGCTTAGATAAGTAAGTTATAATTTGGTAAAAATAATAAAATGATTGGATATTTAAAAAGAATGTTAATTAATATATTTATGAATTTGGAACTAGAATTAAATTTATCAGTCATGATCAATTTATATGGGTTTCAGGAGTTAAAAATGGTTAAGATAAATTATTTGTCTTTTAAATAAATAATTTCAATGATAATGTAAATGAAGAGAATAATAAGTAACTTTTGGAAAGTAATAAATACACTGATAGTCTTTTCTTCCCTATTTTCTATTTGGATTAAAAAAAGTTAATTGTGGCAAAGCACAAAGATCATATTTATCTAATTAAAAAACAAGATAATGGATTCTTAGAAACAGTTTCATTAAAAGTCTTAAATTCAAATGAAGCTTACGGAGCAGTAACGAATGATGGTTAATATTTAGTATTTTGGGAATAAACAGCTTAAAGGTTTGAAGTTTGTTCAATTGCAATTTGAAAAATCATATTATTAATAACATTAAATATTGTTAATATAGATCAATATTTTAACACCAAGTGTTTTATAAATCTTTAAATGTCAAAAGTTATTTCTCAAAATATTATTGATCTTCTTGTTCAATAAAATTCATAGATGAACATTATTAGATCATTAATTATTATAAATTTAATACACATAAATTAAATTCTATTTCAAATTGATTGGATTAATTTAGTGTTGTAAATTTCTTTTTATTTTTTGTTTTTTTGTTCTCTTACAAGGGTATCTATAAAATACCTTTATTTTTATTGACTTGTTGTAATTAACATTAGGCTATATATCCATTAAATTTTATTATTTTTGCAATAAATCTTAGCTATGCACAAGCTAATCAGCTATTAAATTAACTTAAATCACAACTGTTTCATTTATATAATATTATTTAATTACTAAAAAGTAATGGGTCAGAAAAATTTATGTTTAACTTATACTTTGAGAATTTGAATTAGGTATTTTATGTTTTTAATTTCTTAAATGATTATTCCTTAAGATAGCAACTGATTATAAATATCTATATAAATGCATAATAATAAATTTAAGTATTTTTTTATTTAAAATTAATAATAAATTAAATAATTTGTGTTTATGCAAAATAATTTAAAGAAAATATAATCTATTTTGATTTAATGCATCAATTAATGAATTTAATTGATCACATTTATTAAATATTCTGTATAATTAAATTTTGAGAAGAGAATAATGAATTTGAATTGCATTAGTATGTTTTTTGTTTATATAAGTCTATATTAGTTAATTATATTTAGATTTAATAAATAAAAATGAATATATTTGTTTTAACTCTATTAGCCTTCTATTTTAAGATAGGCTAAGAAATAACAATAGAGAGTAATTCAAAAGCTACAAAAATTGATAATTGTCTTCAATCTGAGAATGGTAATTGCCAACGTTGCGAATAGACATATTTTTTATTCCCATTGCCGTAAGATCACAGCGATTTGGAATTAAAAGCAGGAACAATTATATGTGTAGAATGGTAAGATATATTGAAAATACAATAGTCCATATTAAAAATTCAATGAAGCCAATAATTACTATTGTGGAGATTGTTTAGATAATAGTTAATCATGGTATATATGATAAGTATGTTAGGGATAAATCTAGACTTTGCACTTATGACTATAAGACAAAATCAACAGGCACATTATCTGTATTTCACAAAATAGATAGACATACTAAGCAATTATTTTATGTTACAAAGAGTGGTTTAACAAGTGTATATTTAATAAGATTTTTATTTAGTTTACTACACAAGGATGTGATGGATGTGAACACTTTTGTAAATCTTAAAATTCAACATGTTTTCAAGTTTAAAAATAATATTCTTATGATTTGAATAATATGTACATAAGTTGTGCAGAAGGATATGAATATAGTGATGTAGTTGGAGGATGTGATCCTTGTCCTGATAATTGCAAGTCTTGTTAAATAAATACATATATCAAAACAGATGATTCAGGTAAGACTGTAATGGAAATTACAAAGAATTGTTTAATTTGTAATTAAGGATTTAGTATTCTAACGACTAGAACAGCATAAAATAAAAATGAAACTATTAGTTAATGCATAGCATGCTTTGCAGGTTGTGAAACATGTTATTTTGGAAAAAATATAATAAATTTAAATGAAAAACCATGGGATACTTATAATAATCATGCTTTGCTTACTACCAATAATTTTAAAGCAAATGAAACTAAATTTTATGAAGATTTATTTAAATTGTCTTAAATAGCATAAAGATGTGAATACTGTACAAGTACAGCTTAGAGTACTTTTGTTCCATCTTTGAATAGAAGATCTTGTGTTAAATGTGGTACTAATTGCAAAAGATGTGAGTACACATCTGAAATAGAATTGTATTTTATATTTTATTTTATATTATAGTCCTACTAGAGATAAAGCTATGGTTGTTGAACCTGAGAGTACAGAACCAACAACAGCAGATATTGATACAGTTGAATCTAAATATTTATTGAGATGTAGAGAATGTGAAAAATATACATAAACAATTTAAGCTATTGGAACTGGGTGTGTAGATTGCTCAGTTGCAAATTGCAAATTATGTGCTAAATTTGATCCAAGTAGTGGAAATGATATTTCTACTATCAGTCCTAATTTTAAACCTTTATTAGATGAGAGTATTTATAACCAGAATAATAATAGATAAATCTGTGGAAAAATGCCTGTTATGTGAAGACGGTTACTTTTTGTCTGATGATAATTAATCATGTACAATATTTGACTCAGTTAATAAGCCTGGTGTTGGTTGTTTGACTTATCAAAAATTAGCATAATAAAAGTGTTTATAATGTAATACTGGATATACACTTTATAAAAATGAATAAGAAATATGGGAATGTAAAATGGATTGTTCAGAATTAATGAATGATTATTTATGTATTTCTTGTCTCATAAATGGAAGTGAAAAACGTTGTTAAAGATGTTTAGATGGTTTCTTTGTTGATATGAAAACAGGTAAATGTAAAAAATGTTCAGAAAATGGATATTGTAAGAGTTGTTATACAATTTCCTTAGTTTCTGTTCATCATTCAGAATATTTTGATTATTTTTTTGATGGAGATGAAGATATTTATGGTCCTTATTGTATTGAATGCAATCCTGGAGATCTTGAAAAGGGACCATTTAAAAATGAAGATCTTAGATATTGTGAAAAGGGAGGAAAAAATTGTGCTATATTCTAAGCCATAGGATCATAAGGCTATTGTGATTAATGTGATATTGGTTTAGTTGGAAATTCACGTAGTTCATCTCCTGATGGTAGTGATTGCATTGAATGTCCAGAATACACTATAGGTTGTAGAGAGAGAGCAGAATAAGAAAAAAACCTTATTAATCCATTTTTTGATCCTACTAATGAAAAATATAAAAAATATACAAGAATATCATTCATATGTGAAAATAATGCTTATTATAATAGTCAAATTGCTAGATGTATCCATAAAGATGATTGTCCAGATAATAATTGTGATTTATCTGATGAAATCACAATTAAAGCTGATTGTGATTAAATGTTTAAATTAGATAAGACATTATGGAAAATTAACTCATAATTCAATGATATTACATCTAAAAATGCCACATTAATTTTGGAAGATAATATAAATCTATCAGATACTGAAAAACAAGCACTCTTTGATGAGTGGAATAAAAAGGCTATAAAAAAAATAACTATTATATTGGATTTCTAATATTAATCTGGAGATAATTCGAAATGTGTATTCCAAAAAGATACATATTTTACTTCAAATATTAAAAGAAATGTTTACTCTGTTTAAGAATTAGAACTTAAAATTAAAACCAATTCTCCATAACCAAATGAAAGAATTAAATGGTTTATTTATAAAACAATCTATTTTACATATTTTACATCAGTCTCTTTAAATGGAATAGAATTATATCCAGCATCTGATAGAGGTAATTTATTCCTAAATATCCCTAAATATGAATCACCTTTTGGATTTGAATTTCTCAACAACACTGGATCTAAATTTTATCTAGAAAATGTAAAAATTGGAAATGTGGCTGCTGAAGATCATTATAATGATAAATCTACTTATACTACACCTTAAAGTAATTAGTCAGTTTTACTTAAGAAGTAAAAGCCATTCTTTACATTACTTTTAAATACATACGAAATTTATTTAAAAAATGTTGTTATTCATTCTTAAAATTATCTACTAAATTAAGAGATTTCATTTTAACCTAAACCATTTGGATTAGTATATGATTAAAATATAATATTACCTTATTTAAAAATTAAATTAGAAAATGTTTAATTTTATGATATTGCTATTGAAAGTCAAGCAATTTTTGAATTATAATCAGTTATTTTTTTAACTCCCCCCTTATGGAATAACAAAATTTTAATTAATTAGGTTTAATTTATAGATTGTTATTTTAGTAATGATGGTGGCTTTCTTAGTACTAATATTTTTAATTAACCAATGGGTATTATTAACATTAATTCATTAATAATGAGAAATATTGAATACAATAATTCACGAGGAATTATAGATTTCTCTACAATGCAATAGATTAAAGTTAATAATTTTTAGATGTATAATTCTTAAGTTAATTCTACTGCTTTATTTCATGTAACTACTCTTGAATTAAGTAGTGTCTATTTATACTCTACTTCATTCACTTATAAGGGTAGATTGATGTAAACTAAATATGAATTAAAAACGATTAGGTTAAATGATCATGAATTATCAGGATTAAAGTTACAATTTTTTAATTTAGAATTCGATTAAGTTATTTGTTTAACTCCTGCATGTTTAATACTAATTAGTGAAATCTAAAATGATTATGATATTCCTATAAATATTACAATGAAAGGATTAATTATTAAATAAATTAATACTACTTAATTTGATCAAACAATCTTAGAAGCAGCAACAAGTGCTTCAATAAGAGTTGAAAAGAGTAATATATTATTAGTATCAGATTTTTAAAGTATTGAAAATGCAGATTTAACAATCTTTTATGTAGAATAAGTTTGGACTACTAAATTTATCAATCTTAATTGTTATTAAAAAGAAGATATAATAATTAGAAACAATTATTGTCTTTTTATTAATAATCCTTATAAAGGAGTAGAAATACTCAATGCTAAATTACTTAATTTGATTGGAAGGGATAATTCTTTTATTGGAATATCTTCTTGGAGCAATCTAATTTATAATACTTCTACTGCTGATTATTTGGAAACTATCATTTTTAATGGAGTAAATGTTGCTTAATGTACTATTGTTACAACAGTTCTAGCAGTTCCTTCATCCGCTATTTTGATAGATTCTACTCAAATGTAAATTGTAAAAATTAGTTTTATGAATTTCTAAAACAATCATCATTTAATGGAAATTGATGGATCATTAAGACCAAGCAATCCAACATTTTTAATGAGAAGTTTAGTTGGAACATTGATTTTATCAAATAGTATTTGGAGATCTAATTTTGTATAAGGTTTCGGAGCAGTCCTTTATTTAGAAGTAGGAACACAGATCATCTCAAATATCTCAATGATGAATAGTAATTTTGATTTTTAAACAAAAACTAAAATTCCTCTTATAAATGAAATAACAGAGGGGGGACATCTATATATATCTGCATTCAATCTAAATATGTACAATTGTAATTTTACTAATTCCACTTCTAGATTGGGTGGAGCATTATTTTTAAGAACTTTGAAGGAAGGAATAGTTATTTTAAAAAATATTAGAATTCGATATGCTTATACTCCTTTAAATGGAGCAGTATCATCAAGGGGAGGATGTTTATATATTGATTCAATGGCATCTTAATTAGATATGGAGATATTGGGTTCATAATTTTATGATTGTTTTACTAGAGGAGAAGGAGGTGGAATCTTTTTAATGAGTTATGATAAATAGTAATAATTAAAGATTTAAAATTCTGAACTTAAAAATTGTTATGCATTAAGTGGGTTGGCCATTAAAACTCTATTTTATTCTAGAACCTAAAAATTATAAAAAATGATACTTCAAGACGTAAAGGTATCAGGGAATTAATCAAATTCTTTAGAATACTTAGTATAATTAGGAACTTAGTAATAAATTGAAAAATTTTTATTCATTAAGAGATTCGCTGCTGTTGAATAAGATTATGGTTAAATTGAAATCTTTAATTGTTAATCAGAAGGTCTATTTTATTATGGATTTCTTTCTATATGGCAAGCAAATTATATAAATTTAAATAATATATAATCTTAGCATAGTATATTATCTTATAGACCTTATATTGAAATATTAGAACCATAACTGAATCCATTAAAAGTTGATTCACTATAATTTAGAAATATATCATCAATTTCAATAAATAATTTGGATTGTACTTTAGTTTCTATTAATGGATTGTGTAGAATACTTTAAGTAAGATTAGAATTTCCAGATTTTAAAATCAATCCCGCTTTGTTGTTGTTTGATTTAATTCAAGAGAGTACACCTTTAAAATTATTAAATATTGCAATCAATAAAGTAATCTGTAATGAATGCCATGGTGGATTAGTTTAAATTATGAGAGTTTCAAATATAAAGTTAATCCCTTTGGTTGAAATAATTAATTGTCGGTGTTCTAGCTCAGAATCATCCTATTATGGATGTTTTAGTGTTTCAAGTGACTAGTACTTTAGAGAATAGATGGAAATTGACCATTTGATTGGCACAACTCTAGAATCTAATTTAACAGACAAAAAAATTATTTAATATACTAATTTCAGTCAAACTTATAGGAGAATTCTACAATCTGAAACAACTAATCAGACGTAAAATTATGATAATTTTACTTATATTATACCAAATCCGCCATATTTATCAAATGTAATAGTACAATAATTAAATATATTTGATGTCAAAGCTGTTCATGGTGGAGGTATTTCATTTTATGGATTAACTGTTAATGCAACTAAGACTTATTGTTCAACTATGTTTGTTACTGGAAGAGGAGGATGCATTTATTTTGAATCATATCCTAAAGATGAAGGTAAAATTTAACATCGTATAAATATTGCTGATAGTTCTTTTTATAGAAATAATGCTAGTATTGGAGGAGCAATTGCTGTAGTAGAAAGTGGAATCAATAATTTTGAACTTACTAGTAACACTTTTATACAAACATTTGCTAAATTATTTGGTAATGAAGTATCTTAATATCCTACTTAAATTGGAATAAAAATAAATAAACAACTATAAAAATAAAGCAATATTGATCCTCGAACAGGATGGTTAAATTTACCTATTAATATAAGGAGTGGTTAAAAAATATCTTAATTTGAAAATTAAACTGTTGTAGTTGTGTTTCTTGATAAAAATAATCGAGTCATGGATTATTAGTACGATTAAAAATGTAGTTTATCAGCTAATTATGATAAAACCTAAGGAAATATATCTTAGCCTTTCTCTTCAGAGGATAGTAATAGAGATTTCATTCTTGATAAAACTTAAGGATTCAATTATTCAAATCAAATTATTAATTATGATCCTTATAGTAATCATACTTTAGATATAGTTTTTAATAGTAGTCATATTAATATCCCTATCTATCATAATTAATATCCTTATTAAATTATTGGTTTTGAAACTAGATATTAGTTATAAGTTAGAATCAGATCAGTAGAATGTTAAATAGGAGAAAAATATTCTATTTAATATGGAACATGCACTCCTTGTGAAATTGGTTATTATTCATTGATTTATAAAGATGAAAATTGTAAAAGAATTGATTATAAAAAAATGAATTAAACTTATATGAATAAAATTATGGTTTAATAATATTTTTGGAGACCAAATTATGAAAGTGATGTAATTGAAGAGTGTAAAAATAAAAAAGATAATTGCATATAAGGATTTAAAGTTGGAAATGATCTTTGTTAATTTGGATTAATTGGTGCCCTTTGTGAAGAATGTGATATTTATGCTGTTCATTGGGGAGAATCTTTTTATAATTCTGCTAAATTTGAATGCCAACGTTGCTAAGAAAGAACAAACAATAAATTTATCATATTCATTATCTGTCTCATTATAATCTTAGGCTCTTTATGGTCAGTATATAGTCACGAAAAAAGCATTACAATAGATATTTATAAAAAGTTTTTTACAGCAATAAAATTGTAGGTTCCAATACCCCCCTCGGATGAAACTACTACATTAAAAAAAATGGTTCTGAATTACATATAATTGATTTCACTAGCATAAGGATTTATGGTGATACTGCCTTAAGAAATTATAGATATAATTTCTATATTTAGTATGCCAGCTCAATCTTTGGGAAATTCTTTGGATTGTTTATTAGCCAATGAAGCAAATAATATAGATATTATTTATCTCAGATTAATTTGGTCTATGACTTTAATATTGATTTGTATTATTGTAACAATTTTTCTGCTTTACGCATTGAGGTGTACTAAATAGCTAATGGGTTATAATATTCCGACTATGTTTATTTATATGCTTATATTGTTATAACCTACATTCTTGATAGAATTTGCAAATCTTATAATTAAGAGAGATATTGCAGATGATACTTACATTTAAGCCAATGTATCCTATAAATATTATACAAACAATCACTCAATTTGGTTGAAATGGTTTGCTTATCCAGGTTTTATCATAATCTTTTTTTTACCCCTCTTCTTCTTATTACTATTAATAGTAGCTGATTATTATGAAAGATCTCGTAAAAATAAATTTTAAAGATTATGGGGATATCTCTATCATGAATATATCAAACTTAATAATAAAGTAATATTTTATTGGGAGTTTATTAGAATTTATACAAGAGCTATCATATGTTTTCTTTATTGCATCTTTGCTCAAGATATCACATATATGGTAAAATATTATCTATCGCATCTAGGTTGCTATTTCTTCAATTATCCTTTTCTTTTATCTGGCTTTATCCAAAAAAGTAAAGCCTTATCATAATAGAAAGCTTAATTAAATTAATTACTCATCATCTGCTATCCTTTTAATTATTTATTTTAGCTCAACAGTTGCTTATTTAAGCTCTTAAAATGAAAATATTGAATAATAAAAGATTGGATTAAGTATATTTATTTTTTTGACGATTATTTTTTTCTTACTTATCATCAGATATATTCTTTTAAGATATTCTATAATTTTTGCTTAGACTAAAGCTAAAATTATAAAATCTTTTCCTGCTCTAATTAGTGTGAGAAATTGTTGTTCGTGTGCTTGTTGTGACTGTTAATTTGATTGTGTAACATAAATATTGTAGGAAGAAAAAGTAATTAAAGAAAGAACTTAAGAACTTTGGTAAATAATGATAAAAGCCACAAGAGAGGGCATTTAGGAATGGAATCTGGATAGAAGTCTCAAATTCAAAATTAAAAAATGGGATCAAGCCTCTCTAATTCCATAGGATGAAGGTATAAATTTTAACTAATGAAAAATGATGATTTATTTTAAATGTATAAACAATTTATTTTTTAATTGAATCTAAAAATATTTAATAGAATAAACTGCTTTAATATTGTTTTATAAATGATTTATTATTAATTTACATAAGTATTAATTCTTTATTTACCTTGATAATTCTTTATAATATGATTAATATTTATTACAGAAATGAGTGATGATGAAATAGAAATTATTCGATCTGAGGAAGAATTTCAAAGGCAAAATAAATTAATAGGAAGTTTGTAAATAGAAAACAAAGTATTTATAATTCTATTATCAACTTAATTAGAGACTTAATTTAATTGAGAAGTAACTATAAAAAGAAATAGAACAATTGAATTTAAAACTTAAGAATATTGAATCTGAGAAGTAAATAAGATAGGTGGAGCTAAGAAATTGGAGTAATTCTTTATTTTAGTTTTAGAAGCTCAATTAGAAACTAATTTTAAACGTTCAGAAATGTAAAATATTCAATATGAGATTACATTAAAGGATATATCAAAGAAAGCTGATAAGCAGAGAGCTTATATTCTTTAACTTGAACAATAATTATAGGAATAAAAAAATACAAAAGAAAAAGAAAAGTTAATTTAAGAGCTTAAATTATAAACTCAATTATTGTTTCAATAGATTTAAGAAAAGGAAGAAACTCATAAGGAAAATGTAGAATAGATGAAAATTTAATTAGAAGAAGCAAAAAAATAAATAGGATAAGAACAATCCATTTCAATATAAATAAAAGAATAGCTTAAACAAATGGAAGATGAAAATAAATAATAAAATGAAAAAGTTTTGGTAAAATTATAAATATATATAGAATCTAATTAATGAAAATGGAAAATATAGAAGAGAAAAAGAAAATCTTTAATAATAATTGGAATAAATGTAATTAGAAATATAAAATTTATCTATTTAAATAGGTTTAACTGAATCAGAATATTAAGAAACACAAAATAAAACTAAAAAATTAATAGAGGAACTACATCAACAATAATAAAATAAATTGATTTTGTAATAATAAAAAATAGAAGAAATTAATAACGAAATAAATTTGAAAAAACAAGAATTAGATGATTTAAAAATAGAAAATTAAAGATTATAAGATAAATTAAAAGAATCTCAAGATTAAAGATTAAAAATAATTTAGATTGAAGAAGAGAATCATAAATTACAACAACAATTATAGCATAATGAATAAATTTACGTCAATTTAAAAAATTATACAACTTAACTAGAATAAAAGGAAATAAAATAATAATAAGAGATTTAGAATCTAAAAAAAAAGATTCTAGAACTCGACAAAAAATAAATGGTATATACTAAGGAAAAGCAGACTTTCATTTAAACTTTAGGGGACTTTTAAACTTAAATGGATGAGTCTTAAATATATAAAAAAAAATAAGATAGTTTAATTTTAAGATTGTAAAAGGAATTATCTGAAAAAGAATATGAGAAAGAGATTTTGCTTAATATCAATTAATCACTTTAAGACTAAGTGAATGAAATCAAGAATAGTAATGTTCAATTAAATAATATCATATAAAATTGCGGTTAAATGAATAATCAAATTTAAGATCAAAATTCAAAATTAAATTAATAAGTGAATTACAAAAAGGAAGCGGCATTATTTAAAAAATAGCTAGATGAAATATAAAATTGGAGTAAAACTTAGATTAGTGAATTATAATCAGCTCTAGATGAAATCTATAATTGTAAAAATTTTATTTGATATTTAAAGAAAACCTAGAAAAAACCTTATAGATCTTTAATATATTAATTAGTACTAAAATGGCAAATATTATGGAAAACAATATTTTAAAGGATTATTTTGATAAATTTTTAATTAATCTGGAACAGGAATTATAAAGAAAATAAATAATATTGATACATCATTTTGAACAGAATTGATTTATGTGTATTCCAATTTCAAATTTCTTTTAAATAATCTACAACATTCTATTCATAGTCTTGTATTTTTTCCCAAGAATATTATCATTACATATTGTATTTTTTAAAATGCTGGAATTATTGCACCAAAAATTCTTAGCTTTTCAAAAATCAATTTAATATTAAAAACATATTAACCTTAGGTAATTTTAAAAAGTTAATTAGAACTAGAATAATTTAAGAATTCTATTAATTAATTTTTTATTTTTTTGAAATTTAAATTTGAATGCTTATCCCAAAAAAATCAAAATAAATTACTCTTTCATAATTCTAATTGTTCTAATATTTAGATCTTCATAATTCAATAAGTGAAACTAGAATATTTCAAACTCTTTATTCTAATTAAAACAAAAACATATAATAAATTAATTTCTTGCTATAAATATAATTTTTCATTTGATATAATTAAATTATAGGAATGCTTATGAATGAATCAATAATGTTGAGTAATCATTTGATTACCTTAAAACCTAAGAATAATACTTCTATCAATCTCATCATTTAATTCATCACATACTTCATGATTATGCAAATAGTATATATTAAAGGGCTTCGAACGAATTCACTGTCTAAGTAATTGAAGATGATTAGGCCATCATCTCAACAATGAATTAGAAAATATAAAATCAAGAAACATAGCTAAGATTATAGTATCGTTTATTTATTGATTAAAGTGAATTTTTTAGCATAAAAAAAGATTAAAAAGCTGCATTTAAAGATTCACCAACAACTAATTTTTAACTTAGTATACTATCCTTAACTTATAAAATCATTAATTAAAAGTTATGATATTATTTAAAAAGGCCAATAGTTGCACATTTAAAAACTTCAAAATAAAAGTTCCATCTTTTATTTTTTTGATTTTATAACATAATTAAGTATTTGAATTAAGATAAAAAAATAATCAATTAGATTTGATATTCATATAAAAAATTAAGAAAATATTTACTATTTCAGTTTTCAAATTAAATTTCTTTATTCCATATTTTTAAGAATAAAAACCAGCTAAGCTAATTTGAATTCTCAATAATCAATAATTCCTCATTACGATAAATTCTATTTTTTAACAAAGCCTCATCTACTTCTTTTTAAAAGTACATAAGATATTTTGTAGATTTTAGTACAAGACTTAAACTAAATAATAGAAATTCAATAATAAAAAAAATGAAGTGCACTTTTGAACATAATAAAGGCTTGAAGGATGTTTTAGCTATCCTCAATCATATTGATGCGTAAATACTGACTTTAATTATTGAAATTTTATTAAAAGAAAAATTTTCAGATTCAATAGGATTTCTTTAAAAATATTAAAATCAAAAGGTTTATGAATAAAGCATTTTAAAAGTTGAAAATATATAAAGTTTTGATAAGTAGTGGAAGTTAGACGCTGTGAAAGAGAACATTAAGAAATTTACTAATGTTCTCATATCAATAAAAAATAATGACTTTAATTAGAATGACTATTCAACTAAAAACTACTCAGAAACTAAGCAACTACTAATTTAGGAAATTATAGAGAATAAGAAGATTATTTAATTTTTGAAATTTTTAGTACACCTTACAGCTATTGATGACTTATTCATATAATCTGGATCAAATTCACTTCATTTATTAGTAGAAATGAAGATCAATCTAAAGAATTAATTTTTTGAAGGCATTAAGATAAGAAACACTTCGTTGATTGGAGCCAATTTTTTCAGATGCAATTTGAATGGATCTGAATTAAAAAATGTAGACATTGATGGAATTAATTTGAATGGGGCATAGTTATTTAATTGTAAATGGAAGAAAATAAGATTAAAGCAATTAATTAAATTGGATGGTCATAGTGGAGATGTCTACTCAGTCTGTTTCTCTCCTGATGGTACTACTTTAGCATCTGGTAGTGAAGATAAATCTATCCGTTTATGGGATGTTAAAACAGGACAATAAAAAGCAATTTTGAAAGGTCATAAAAATGGTGTTGTATCATTATGTTTCTCTCCTGATGGTACGACATTAGCATCAGGTAGTGCAGATAACTCTCACCGTTTATGGGATATTAAAACGAGAAAAACAAAATTGAAATTGTAATGGCTTTATAAATCTATCTATTCAGTATGCTTTTCCCCTGATGGTACTAAATTAGTATCTTTTTGTGTTAATGAAGGAGATTTAAATATGTCTGTTCTGGATATAGATGATGAAGAGCTTTCTATCTTTATATGGGATGTTAGTACAGGAAAATTGAAAATTCTTAAGAGTTTTGCTCATAATTTAGCTCTATCAGTATGCTTCTCTCCTGATAGCACAACACTAGCCTTTAGTATTTCAGCAGACTCCATCTATTTGTTTGATCTAAAGACAGAAAAGTTAAAAATTAAATTAAAGGATCATAGTGACAAAATCATATCATTATGCTTTTCTCCTGATGGTAATACATTAGCATCTGGTAGTTCAGATAAGTCAATCAGTTTGTGGGATCTAAAGACAGGACGATTAAAAAGTAAATTAAAGGATCATAGTGACAAAGTCTTATCAGTATGCTTTTCTCCTGATGGTACTACATTAGCATCTGGTAGTTCAGATAAGTCAATCTGTTTATGGGATGTTAAAGCAGGGTCATAAAAAGCGAAATTGATTGGTCATAAAGATGATGTTTTATCTCTATGCTTTTCTCCTGATGGTACTACATTAGCATCTGGTAGTTCAGATAAGTCTATTTGTTTTTGGGAAACTAATTCAGAGCAATATAAAACTTAAGGTCATAGTAATACGGTCTGCTCAGTATGTTTCTCTCCTGATGGTAATACACTAGCTTCTTGCAGTGATGATAAGTCTATCCGTTTATGGGAAGCTTAAACAGGCAGATAAAAATCCAAACTAGATGGTCATAATGATAGTGTCTGTTCAGTATGTTTCTCTTTTGATGGCATGACCTTAGCATCTGGTGGTGCAGATAAGTCTATTCGTTTATGGGATGTTTAAACAGGACAATAAAAAGCAAAATTGAATGGTCATACAAATTTAATCTATTCAGTATGCATCTCTCCTGATGGTACTACATTAGCATCTTGTTGTGCGGATAAATCTATTCGTTTATGGGAAATTAAAACAGGACAATAAAAATTAACATTAGAAAACCATTAAACTTTTTTCAAATCACTTTATTTTTCTCCTGATGGTACTACATTAGCATCTGGTGGTGCAGATAAGTCTATTCGTTTATGGGATGTTTAAACAGGACAATTAAAAGCAAAATTGGATGGTCATACGAATTTAATCTATTCAGTATGCTTTTCTCCTGATGGTACTACATTAGCATCTGGTAGTTCAGATAAGTCAATCTGTTTATGGGATGTTAAAGCAGGGTAATAAAAAGCGAAATTGATTGGTCATAAAGATGGTGTTTTATCTGTATGCTTTTCTCCTGATTGTACTACATTAGCATCTGGTAGTTTAGATAAGTCTATTTGTTTATGGGATGTTAAAACAGGAAAATTAAAAGCGAAATTGATGGGTCATTTTAATTATGTCGAATCAGTATGTTTTTCTCCTGATGGTATGACATTAGCATCTGGAAGTGCAGATAACTCTATCCGTTTATGGGAAATTAAGAGAGCAAAAGAGATTGAAATATCTGAAAATCATTATAAAGACATTCTGTTATAATTTAAAACACCTCTGGTATAAAATAATCCACTTGCACATGATGGTATTTAATTTAATCTTATTTAGTCACTACTTATCCTACCATTCTGCTTATATCCGAATATCTATCATTTTAAGCAAAAGAAGCTCTAGTGTTCAATGGAGAATTTGTCAATTAAAAAGGTTTTGATTTCCTATCATTATTAAAATAAAAAGAATGCTGTATTTTGTAAGACTCATTATAATTAAAATACAAGTGTAATTGATAATCATCCATTATAATTTAATAATAAAAAATTTTATAGTATTTATTTATGGTATATTTCATTATACAACTTTCATTTTTATAAATTGTTTGTTCTTCATTTAATTTTTTTCTAAATTTTCATTCAAATTACTTTTAATTTAATTCTACCTTTGATTTTCAATTATTTGGTACCAAACTATCTGATCTAACTAGTAGATTTATTTACTGTTGAAAAGATTTTAATGCTTTAATGTAAAGCGATTAAGATAGAAATTATACTTATTAAATAATTAGACTATTAAAGATATGAATTTTAATTTATTAATTGTGAATAGTTAAATCAGTGGGACTACTACAAAGTTAAAAAAGTAAAGGAGATAATTAAATGGAATTTTATTAATCAAAGGAAAAGAAAAACAAAACAAAAAGTATATAGTTTAGTTATTCAACCATTTTTAGCAACTTTCAAGAGCAAAAATGTTAAATTCTAAATTTAAAATGTCAAACTAGGGGTTAAATTCATCGAAATTATTTGAGTATGGCATAGTCTTATTCATTATTTACTTATTTTTTATTTTTTTTTTTAAATTTCCAAAATAGATTATAAAGAAATAACAGAAAGAATCATGAATAAAAACTATTTAGAAGGTATCAATAGTTTAGCTATAGGAATTAGAGATTGGATATTTTTCATGAGTTTTGTTCATTAGCTTATAAATGGCATTTTATATCATAATTAAATGAGTAGTTCATATTTGACTGAGAAAGTCTTCTACACGAAAAATATCAATATAAGATCCATATTTTTAAATAAATTATAAATATCTATAATATATTTATTCCTTATTTAATAAAATAAATTGTTAAAGTTATATTTCTAATTTCAATAATTTAGAAGATTTTAAATCTAATCTTACAATTATTTTATATTGGGATTTTTTGATTATATCTATTGAAATTAAAAACAATACTTCAGTTGTATAAAAAATAGATTATCGCATCAGATAATATTGATTTTCTTATCAAGAACACTTTTATCCTAAACCCTTTTTAATATAAATTTACATATTTGAGAAATAAACTATAGAAGCAATTTATTTTATCAGATTAGAAGTTTATGGAATTAAAATTATGAGTTAGCTATATGTAATTTTTTAATCAATTCTTAAAGAGTTAATACTCAAAAACTATACTAAATTTCAATATATTTTTTTAAATAGTTTATAATGTTATTTAAACGAAAAAAAAATTAATTTAAGCATTATATTTTAATTATTATTTTAATATAATCATTTCTTTTAGGTAGCAGCAAATTGATCATAATATTTGCGAAGATCTTTTTTTGAAAAGATAAAATCTTTCATGGCAATTTTAATGAATTTGTCTGGATCAAAATTATTGAAAAATTTCTGATCTTTTAAAATTGCAATAGCTTGTTCCATTGATTTTGCCTATAGAAATTATTATATATGTAGTTTACTGTCAAAATCTCTTCTTTTCTAATTTTAAGTATGGCTAATGATGCTCTAAAGGTTGTTTTATGGTGTTCATACCAAAATATATCAGTAACTCTTAGAAATATTTACATAGGGAGAATCGAACTAAAGAGAGTGATAAACCTATAATTTTATTAAAGTATTTACCATTCTGCTGCATAATAAAAGGGAACAATATTAAATTTAGTAAACTTTGCATGTACATCAGGTAAGAATTACTTGATTAAAATATCTAATGCATAAAAATATTTTAATGTATTAGTTGGATTAATATAAGTATCAAGGCAACCATATTTTGTAAGCAAACTATACAAATGCCAATAGACTAATTCGTCATTCATCAATAATAAAAATGAACCAGCCAAATAATTTAATCCTTGACAATATCCCATGTCTTAAAAGGTCAGGCTGATTGCTCTCAGCACTGTAAAGAGAGATTAACTTGTAATTGTATCCATTTTGATAAGATCATTTGTTTGGAATGTACGCATAACATCCAAAGTAATTTGACTATCATGAGGTGAGATTTCTTGAGATTCAATTAGCTCCTTATAAGTTCTCTTCAAAATTATAATTCAATATTACCTTAGCTTGAATTTTCATTTGATCTATTTCAGCCAAACAAGGCCAGATGAGCATTCTAATACCTTCAGGTATTCCTTTTCTTAAGCGAGATTTGAGCTTTGAATCATTATTGGCCATTAATTGAGGAATCTTTGGTATCATTTTTCTCCATTTTTCAATCCTTGCATTAATCTTAAGCATTTCTTCTTTGCTTAATGGTTGAGTGTTTTACTTTGGAAACCCATAATGATCTCTATTCTCTGCAATCATTAATAATAATAAATAATCACTTTTTATTATAATAATAAAAAATTAAATAATTGAGAAAAAGAGTGTAAAGAATATAGAAGAAATACAAATATATATATTAATGTATCTTATCAAACGTCACAAATTTTTGGTGATGGGAAATAGTTTTAAGAAGTTTTTTAAGGAATTTCAGGATACCATCTATTTAAACTAGCTGTCCACCTATTTAAATTAATGTATTCTATTACCATACACCATTTTAAGAAAATAAGGATTCAGGAATTTCAGATTCATTTGCATCAATGCATCCTACTAACCATGCTAACCATTCAGTTTTAAGAGCCTCTGTGGTTCCCACGATTTCAGATTATTTATCATTAGGTACTACAAATGTAACAGCTGGATCATCTTTATCAGCCACATAATATTTGATATGTGCATTTGATGATATCAACTTTTATTAATAATTTTCTTTATCTCCAAAATTTTGTACAAAAATCAAGTATTTGCTAAGTACAAGTGCATTAATTTCAATGGCCTCAAAACTATATTCTTCATCAGAAGATCTACCAAACTAGGCTCCAGTGCATTCATAATCTAAATATCCAACTAAACAATTTGAAGTGGATGTAGGATTAAAGGACAATTAGAGATCCAAATTTATATTAGGATTATACCATTCTAATACTATTCTAACTTATCCAGATTTTAACTTTTTAGACAATGGTACAATAGTAACTTCATTATCTTGAAATTCATAACAATTTTAAGAATAATCTGGATGTGTAACAATTAAATTATATTATGAACCCTTAACTAGTCGAGTAAATGTAACTTTTCCATTAGAATCAGTCTTAGCAGTTCCATACACCTAAAATGATCCACAACTTCCTACTCTTAGATCAATTTTGGCTGTTTCTAAATGTTTCCAATCCATAACATCAACAACATAAACATCAGTTTAATAATAATTAATCTAAAAAATCTAAGAGAAATCTCCTAATTTGCATTCTCCATTCAAAACCTTATAACCTTGTTCGCATACAGCACATTTATTTTCTTTGGTACAAATTGCACAATTTTAGATTTTAGTAGTGCATAATTTATATGCTTATTTACATTAGCCATTATCAAAAGCTGAAAAAGCATCACAATAATTTGAATCGCATTTCTCCTTTTCTTTTGAACATTTCAAACATTGATTTTGAGAATAAGGTTTAGAACATCCATTTTCTGGAAGACAGGATTTATCAGCTTATAACTGATATTCTGCTTAACAACTAATACATTTATTATTTTTATCGCAGAATTTACAAAATGGAACATTAGTGCATCCAGTAGGTTAACATTTTTTTCTGGCATCCAAATATTCTCCACTTTTACATCCTCCTTCATTTTTTTCTTATGCTTTAGGTTAATCTTTAGCTGGTTCCTTAGGTTATTCTTTTGCAGGTTCCTTAGGTTATTCTTTTGCAGGTTCTTTGGAAGTTGAACCACTCGTTGTAGTTGTAGTAGTAGGTTTGGTAGGTTCTGTAGTTGTTGATGGTTTAGATGTAGTTGTGGTTGTTTCAGCTTAATGTTAATAAGTTTTAGGAGGTGGTGTTGTTTGAACCTTAGGTATTGTCACATTTGATCTCATTAAAATAGTTCCAAAATTAATTTCTTCTTAAAACTAAACTACTTAAGATTAAACATAATCATCATAACCAATGGCTGCCACAGTTATTAATCCAGTTGTTGGTTAAAACATTTGAGTGCTATAATCAGCTACATCGAAAGTTGATATCTATAATTTATATTCTCCCTTTGGAGTGGCTACATCACAAATTGGTTTTTCTAATCCTTCTTGACTCCAACAAATCTTAGCCTCTTATATTGGATATTAAGTATATATTATATCATCTTCCTTTTTTATTTCTCCTACTACAAATCCACTCACTTTTGATTTCATTTCCTTAAATAATTAAACCTATATAGATTCATTTACTCCTAATTTTCCAGCAAATCTACAACCTCTTTCATCATCTTTATCAAAACCTGGTTTACAGGTTACACACTTTTATTCTTTGCATTCTTAACAATTAGGAATTTCACATTTAGGTTAAGATGATGATGGTTATGATTTTGGATCACTTCCCCCCTTATCTGAAGCAGCAGTGCTTCCTTTATTTGGTTCTGCTGGCTTAGTTGCAGTTTCTGCAAAATGAGAAAACATTGAATAATGATAAACTTTGCTATTCTTTTCTTCTATTGGAATGTCAACAACATTTTGATATAAATTAATTGTCAGATCTTTTGAACCAACTTAATAACAAACTTAAACATCATCCAAATATTATTAGACATACTCCAGCTTGCCAATTATAGCAAAGAAATCTTATTCATTACCATCATAATTAGGCCATAAGAATTTAGCAGCAGCCAAAGTTTGATATGTAGTTGCTTCCTTCCTTTTGAATTATTAAACTCCTTTCACCCATAATCCAAATAAGATATCTAAATTAATTATATGGGGATTATACTTGTCTCTTTTTTGCCAGTTTCTACTTTATTCAAAGGACAATTAGTTGTCGATTTACATTCACTACTCAATTCAATTCTGCTACCCACCAATTAAGTTATTGATTAGCACATCCTTGATTAAATTTTTGCAAATTCCTTTGCCTTTACAGCTTTAGCAGGTTGATCAAAATTAACTTCTTTTTTTAATGGAATTGGTGTATAATTATTTATTAACATGAGTACTCCAAAAACTATTGTACCAATAAATAATAATAGGAATAATGTTTCTATGTTTCTACCTAATGTTTTATCTGATCTTGTTCTTCTTGATAGATGGAATTCAAATAAAATTAAAGCAAATAAAAATAATGGGGTTGCCAAAGATAGCATAATTAAAATTAATAAATCTTTTGTGTAAATATTACTAACTGTTTTACAACAATTGAGATTTAAACATCCTAATGGATGATCTGCTGGATCTGTTGTATCTACTTCCCATCTCTAAACTTGAGCATCTCTATCACATGTAGTAGAATATACCGAACATTCTTTTTATCCATCTGGACAATTTGATGTTTGAATGTCTTTTATATATTTTGAAGCACAAGAGTGTTAGGATAAATAAGATTCTGATAAATTATTCATTTATTATTAACAATTTACAATGTTACTTTCTTATTAATCTTAATAGTCTCTAATATATTCAGCTTGGAATCCTAGAAGAACTGGAATTATGAGGATTTGAAGAGCTGCTAATATCATAAGCAAACCTTTGATTTTCCAAGTGTTTGAAATAACCGCTAATAAAATTAATGCTAATATAATAAAGTTTAAAATGGCACTAATAGAATAGATGCCCATTCCTTTCAATAAATATATAGATCCCCAAGAAGTCAAGGATACAGCTATACAGAGGAGGTATATATTGAATCTACTTGTTATTGAGGATATTGTCATCTAATAAAAATTATGTATGGTGTATGTTAATCCAACAACAATTAAGATTGAAAATATCAATATTATTGGTTTCATAACAGATACCACTTTATCGAATTTCTGATAATCATTTCCAATTTTTTCTGATTAGTACAACCCTTAGACATAATCACTAGACAGTATTATCAAAATGAAGAATACAAACTCTGCTATTGCCATAAAAATAGTCAAAAAGAATAACAACCTTCATAATTAATTGTATTACCTCCCGTTAAAGTTATCTGTCAATTCTCCCCATTCATCTTCAGTTGATTTTAGATATGTTTGTTATTAATTATTCCAAACGAGAGTTCCGATGCAAATCAAAACTATTAGTACATTAATGATAGCATAGCTTAAAGTGATATAATTTAACACAAATCCATTGATAACAAATAACATTATTGCATCTCCCAAGGCCAACAATAATACAATTATAGAAACATATTATTGTATTGTGGTTAATGTCAATTTTTCACTGCGATTGAATTCACTTTAAGAAATGAATTACCTACTTTCAAATTCCATTTATTTATTTTTTTTATTTTTATTAATAACTGTATAGTATTTAAATCAAATTTTAGGTAACTTCAATTATGAATTAGACATCTGAGGACGACTAGAATTGCTTCGTACCTCTGATGTTTTATTAAAATTTTCAGAAGACAGATTCATTCTCTGTTAAGGAACACGATTTCTATTTTGAGGTTAAGTAAATCCTAAAGATTAATAGAACTCTTTAGATTTCATAGTTTATTTTAATTAACTAATCTCAGAAAGAATTGATTGTTTTTTTTATGGTTTAGGTAAGGATCTAATTAATAGTTTCTATTTTAAATTAGTATCCTTATTACTATGATTTATTCCAACAATGATTTAATCATCTTCAATAAATTATTATTTTATTTAAGAATCTTAGAGAGTTTATTCATCTTAAATACCTCTTTAAGTAGAACACTCTGATTATTAAGTCTTCAATAATCTTCTTAAATATTGAGCTCTTATATTATCCATCTATTCATTTTATTCTGTAACAAATTTAAAGAATTCATTTTCAGCCATAATGTTTTCATCCTTCTAATCTTCTTCATTTATTTTGTTCACAATTTCTTATTCATCATCCTAAAATCCTTATACTCTAAGAATAGCTTTTAGTCTTTCTTCAGTTACAATACCCTCTTCATTATCCAAATCAGACATATGATAATTATTTACATCTATATCTAATTCCTATAATTTTTCTTTCAAAGCCAACACTTCTTATTTTACATATTATCCAGGTTTTCCTACTTCTCTACCATTGATCAATTCTAACCAAGGACAATCTACTATAAATTTATCTTCGTATTCCCTACTTTAAAATGGATTTCCTTAAAATTGGATATCAATTAAATTTGACATTAATTTTAAAAAATCAAAACAATTTTCTGCATATATCTAATTTGATTACACATATAGATTAGTCAAATATGGAAATTTAAATTCTAATACTCTTAAATCATCTATTTGATTATAACTTAAATCTAGAATGTTAAGATTTTCATTTTAGTTTTCAATCTTTAAAACACTAATCTAATTATTTGATAGATTCAGTTCTTCCAATTCAGTTATAGTATCAATAAATTGAGTATCATTAATTTAATTATTACTTGCATCAAGAATTTTTAATTTTTTTGTATTACTAAATGAACCTTTTAATGTAGATATTTTATTTCTTCTAATATTCAATTCTTCCAACTAAAATACATCATATTATTTTACTTAAACATTAAAAACCAAAAAATCTACCTTCTCTATTAAATTTCCTCCTAAATTCAAATATTTCAAGTCTTTTAAATTATTTAGAAAATCAATCTAATATAATAAAATATTTACTACTTTACACAATTTATTATTTTCTAAATTCAAATGCTAAATTAATTTGTTTCCCAATATTAAACCTATAATCTTATTAAATGATAGATCCAATTTTAATAATTTTTGTAATTGAATTTTGTGTACTCCTTCTAATTCATTATTGGAAACACCTAAATTCTCTAGAATTGCAGAATCTATATTATCAATCTTAAAATTATTATATCAATATACTCTTTTAAGTAAATTATGATGCAATTCCAAAGTCTGAACTAATTTCATATAGTCTTTAATGCATTAATTTATTTCAGTAATACCTATATTTGTATATACTTAATTACCTAAGATGTTTAATCTAAGAGTTTTTCCTCCATCATCCAATTTAGCCATTACTAGTTCTATTGTTATTGGTTGTTATTCAGTCATATGAGTATTTAAATTAATATAATATATTTATATATTACTTAATAATATATTGAAATAATCTAATCATTTTCATATTTTTGTTAAATTCTAGTAAGTCTTTATATTTATTATATTTGATAATCAATAAAAACTTTAAGATATTTATCAATTTTCTAGAAGACTTTATGAATTTCCTATTATTTTGATCTAAAGTATATAATTATAAATAAGTTTATTAATTAGTTTCTTAGAATTTATTAAATATATGAAGCAGCGATAGAAATCTCATACTTACCTATACAAACAAATTTGTAAACATTTGAATGTACCTTGTTCATTTGGATTACTTAATGGGATTTAAGAGACAGAAATAGTTATAATTTTAGAACAAATTGGGTTATAGGGTATGAAAATGAAAAATTAATAGATATTGAACCTCTTTAATTATTGTTAGCTTAATGTAAATTTAAATCAATCATACTGAAAAGTATGTAGAAGAACTTAAAACTAAACAAATCTATGGCTCATGATAATTATAAAAATGAATTGCTAGAGATTTTAAGAGCCATTACTAAGTTATTCACAAAAAGTTTAGATGTGATAACATTTGTAATTCGAGACATTAGAATGAGTAGTGAACATATGCAAATAATTTCTTAAGGCATAGCAGTAGTTTAGTCTTTAAAAGAGCTACGGATTATATAGTGTCTAATGACCTCAAATCATTTCAGCATACTATAACCATCTTTAATTTAGAATTCATCTCTTCATATTGTAGATTTTTCCCATAATTATCTAACACATCAAATTGGAGTAATGTTAGGATAATTACTATAAGAACATAGTAAAAGAAGGGATAGTGTAGATTATTTGTATAGAACTAAAGGTGAATGTCCAGAAGAAGACATATCTAAGATTGGAATAGGTGAATTAGATTTATCATACAATAAATTAAATGATTAATTTGTTAAAGATGTTGTACCTTATTTGGAAAGAGATAGATGGATAAAATCCATAAATTTGAAATATAATGCTATTTAAAAAGAGGGATTTGAACTCTTAATACAATTACTTGATAAAAATACTACAATTACTAGTTTAGATACTCGAAGAAATTTAGGAACTACTCAATAATTCTAGAAGGAGATTCTTACAAAACTTATTAGAAATAAAAATACTAAGAATGATTTACATGAATAAAGAATAGAAGAGGAAAATGAGAATATTTTAGTTAATGTTTCTGCCATTCCATAAAATCTATTATCTGTAATATCTGATTAAGAAAGTCCAGTTATGTCATTTGGAGTTTTTGAACCCAATAATCAAACCAAATAAATGTCTATCTCAGGAAGACAAGATTAATTAAAATTTAAATCTGGTTATAAAAATAATGATTCTGGATGTATGGATTGTATTAGATTACAAATAAAAGTAAAAAAATAATAATAAATTATTTAATTACTTAAATAAGAAGTATAATATCTTAGATTTCAATTATAAACTAAACAATAATAACCTTAATAATAATAATAATAATAACAATAATAATAATAATAATAATAATAATAGACTATGAATTTTTTAAATTTATCAGATAATAACAATTAACATCCACCATAACATGAAGTAGAATAGGAAGATATGTTAAATAGAATAGAATATATGATGAATGAATTAACTAGAATGATGGATGGTTTAGATGCTTAAGGAAGTGTAACAAATAATTTGAATGCTCATCTTTCTAGTACACTTATTGGATAAGATTATACAAGAGTAATTTGTGAAAGAGATGATAGAGCTAATGATTTTATGAATATATTGGGTGAAAATAGCCAAAACAATTCATCAGAATCTTCAGAAGATGAAGCAAAATCATAATGATAATAATTTTGGTATTTTGATAAATTTATATATCATTATAAATTTGCTGATTATTATTCTGAGGTTTTTGTTTTTAGAAGGTTTAACATCTTCATTTCAGATTCAATAATTCTTCTGTGAATAAATCTTTAGATTTTAATTTAAGAGTATTCATTATTATAAAAAATTGTAAAGAATATCATATATAATTTTTTTTGTTATATAGCATAAATATACACCACTCCAATAATTAACAATGCAAAAACTCTTCTGTTATGAGGTACAACATAAAGTGTTTCTGATCTTAATGTAATCATGAATCCAAAATATATCAAAAGTATACAAAAAGCAAGTGAAATGAAATATCAAATATAGAATTTTTTAATTATTTTACTTTTTTATTTATAAAATAAAAGAGTACATTATAATCAAAGTCTTTTAAGCAATAATCTATTTATTTTTATTTTATTTTGCTGTCTCTAATGTTCATATCTATGTATATCTAACTGAACTCTAACATTTTTAAATTTCTTTTAATCTTAATAATCTCTCATATCACTTTGAATTTATTGATTTTACCATTCATTAGATAATTTAATAGCCTTCATATTTTGATGTGGTAAATCATTTTTAGCTTTTCTATACAAAATATCACTAATTCTTGGTGTATATAAAGTACTCTTTTATTCTCTATCTGATTCTAAAGTATATTATTTTGAACAGAAATCTAATTTTGTTGCAAATAAATCCTTTGTGTCAAACATATCAAAATTTGATGCTTCCTTTTATGTAAATTCCTTATGGTCAGTAATATTATTTTCTGCTTAATCTTAAAAGGAGTATGATTGTCTTCGAATAAAAGATTATTGCTTTTTGGATTTTTGATGTACTTTTTAGATTTTTTGATTTTCCTGGTAGGCCTTTAGACTGCTATTATTACTTCGAACATTCACAGATTTAGAAATTGGATTGAGTTGTTTAGGAATGAAATCTTTATTCCTTTTGTACAATATATATGATGAAGGAATCTCACACCTTTTAATAATCTCATCAACAACACTTCCTTAAATCTATGGTTCTAATTTAACTGATTAATGTATGATTCTTGATTGTCTCATCTATGTTCTATCAATAAAACCACAAGGTTTCTTATTGGAAGGTGATTCTTATTGAATCTATAGAAAAGGCAATATATATGTATTAATAAAATTTTGATCCATAATATTTATAAGGCAAAAATGATTATCAATTTTTAAGCTTTTAGGCTAATTTTGCTGATTTAGGTGTTGTAGTAGTTGTTGGTTATTTCGTGACTCGAGATGAAGAAGTACTTGAAATAGCAATCTAACTGCTTGAAACACTGACATTATTATCAAAATCATAACCATTAAATAAATCTAACAATGATATTTCCAAAAATATTACTTTATATTGAATTTCTTCTTAACATCATCTATTAATCCTCATTAATTGAATCATCCGAATCTCTTCTACTATCTGATGGAAGATAATTGTCTTCATTACCCTAATAATAATCATTAAATAATCCTTACATTAGGTATAAATGGAGCAATCATTTCTTTACTTATCAACTTGTCCCAACTGAAATCCTTAAACCATGGATGTTCCTTTACTTCATCAGGTCCATTATTCCCCAATCTATTTTAGGGTTTTCTTTAAAGTAACTAGTTATATATATCATAATAAATTACTCTATTAGTAAAATCTGCAGCCTCTAAACTCCATCCAGGAGGTATTTCTTATCGTTTTATGGCTGCCTACTTTGCTAACATTTATTCCCTTATTTCTTAACGACTTCTTCCCAAATATGGTCTTCTTCCCAACATGCATTCATATACTATCACACCTAATGCAAAATAATCAACTGCTATTCCATGATTATGTCCTATTAGATATATAATTTATTATATCATACGACACATTACTTCTGGAGCCATGTATCCTGGAGTTCCACTTGTATCTTAAGAGTTTTCTGGTTTCCAAATTCTTGCTATTCCAAGATCTGTTAATCTCAAGTATCCTAACTGAAGAATGAACTAAAAATACCATTACTATCAAACACTAAATTTTCTGGCTTTAAATCCCTATGTAATATTCCTTATTAATGTAAATATTCCAATGCCACTATTATACATGCACTGAAAAACTCTATTTTTATATTGAATCAATTCCTAATACTTGTTTGTTCTTCATTAAATCTTCTATGCCTTCCTATATGATATCTTAAATCTCCTCCTGAAAGTAAATCCATAATTAAATACAAATATTCTCTATCCTGAAATGAATTCTACATATTGATCAGAAAACTTATTTTATTTTCTCTACATACTTATGTTTTAATCCACATAGCAATGCTTTTTCATTCATTACAGATTACACAGATTTCTTTGTTATTATCCTAATATAACTCATTATAATTTACTTAGGTTTTGACATCACTTTCAAGGCATAAAACTATTTATTCTTCTTTTGTCTAACTTTCCAAACTTTACCAAAACCCCCTCTTCCAATAGCATCAATAAATTAAAAATTTTAAACAGACATTACTACTTATTTATTCAAAATACCATTATTTTCAATTAGATCCTCTTTTTTTTCATTAATATTACAATTTCCCATTTTTATTTAATATAAATATTGATTTATTATATAATTTCATTCTCTATACTCCTCTCATCGAAACCATATTTCTACATATTAAAAACTGATTAATTACTAAAAAGGAGTGCTAATATAAAAAAGAATTATAATAAATTTATTAATGTATTTCATAACAACAGTAAAAATTTAGAAAATACATTTTAACATTAATAATCTTATCAAATTTATCAGTTTGAAATCAAAGTATTATAATTTATATACAGAAATCTACTCTATTATAATTAATGTTAATTAACTTATTATCCTTTAACGATGCTTATAGGATAATATCAAAAAAGTCTTAATCTTCAATATCTATTGAAAAAATATCAAAGATATATACTATAAAAGAAATTTAAATAAAATTTAAGTTTTCTTATTTGAAATCTCGCAATAAAAGGAAAATCGATGGCTTCAGAAATGTTATAATAAATTCATTATTAAATGATTTCATATGAAAAATCTTAATGTGATTAATAATATATATTAAGCATTTTTAGAATTATAATTACTGTTTTATGTAATACTAATGTGTTAAACTATTTTAAGCTAGAGGGTATTAAAGAATTAAATTAAATAATTAAATTTTGAATAAGTGTTTATGTCTGAATCAATTATAACGTATTTTTAATGACACTTAATTTAGTAAAATTTGAATTCCTTTTAAAGATTTTTGATGTTTTCTGACACTTAATTTATAAAAGGCAATTTTGTGATTTAATCGGGGGTTATGATTGATAATTAATTGATATGCTACGTAATTGTTCGTTTTGGGTTTAATGATAAAAATACAAAACAAGTATAGCTACTAAGAAGATGATTTTATTGGAAAAGGAGCTTATTCAAAAGTCTATAAAGGTTTAATTGATAAAACAAAAGAGTTCGTAGCTATAAAAGGTTTAAATTTAACATCATCTTAGTTATTGATTGGAGTAAGGTTTAGGATAAATACTATATCTCTGGTTTTTAAAGAGAGGTTCGAATACTTAGAGATTTAGATCATTAAAATATAGTTAAAATCATGGATATATTCCATGATGCAAATTAAAATAGAGAATATCTCATAATGGAATATTGTGATAGTTAAAATCTGAAAGCATTTATTTATCAATCTGGAGGAGTTCTAAACGAAAATATCACAAAAATAGTATTATAGTAATTGTTGACTGCTCTAAATGAATTAATAAAAAAGGAGTATTTACATAGAGATATCAAACCAGAAAACATTTTGATTCACTAAAGGACATTGAAATTAGCAGATTTTGGATTCTCAGTAAAGGCAGATTATTCTGGCAATCAACTTTTTAAAGAAAATGTAGGCACTCCATTATATATGGCTCCATAAATACTTGAAAATAAACACTATTCGGTTAAAAGTGATATTTGGTCTATAGGAATTATGACATATTAAATGTTAACTGGGGATTATCCATGGATTGCTGATGATCCAATTCAACTTTTAAAATCCATAAAATCTTAAAAATTATTATTCCCTTAACATATTTAAATTACGGATGAGTTTAAAGAATTTATAATAAATTGTTTATAATTTGAAGAAAAAGATCGATACAATTGGGATGATTTATTAGATCATAAAATATTTAAAACTAAATATATTATACAAAAGAATTAAATAAAAATCGAACAACTCTAAGTATATATAATATATAATAATTTAAGTTAGCAATAAATAAAATAAAATAAACTTAGAAAGATAGAGGTACTCATTTAGAATAATTATTTATAAATTTAGATATGGATGCAGATAAGAAACTAACTTTTGAAGAATTTTAAGTATTATTACTTTATGTTGATAATAATATGGATATAAATATTTAAAAAGGAATTTTTCATAAATACAATGTTAATAAAAATAATTTACTTAATTTTAATGAATTTAGCAGAATATTTTAATGATCTTCATTATTATATATTTACTTAATAATTATACAATATTAATGTATATATTATAAATGTTTCTTATTATTCATTATTTGAATTCATTGAAAAATATTAATTTTTTTATGATTGAATACAAAAGTTGACTAAATAATTAATAAATTTATGTAATTAATGTAATAATTTTTTATAAATGAGCTTCAAAAGAAACCACTTCCAGATATTTTGATGATACAATTTATTTAAACTATATAGTTTCCTGATTAAATTGAATAAATAAATTTAAGTCAAATTGAGTAATATTTACAATAATTATCAATTTTAATCTAAGAAAAAAATGATTAAAAATGTTGGATTTATTTTGGATTACTATTGAGATAAATGTTAAATTAAAGAAATTAAATGAGCATAGAATAATATAATAGATTTGCTATAAATACTTTTGTTTTAATAATTCAAATATTGAATATTCATATTACTTCTGAATATATTGAAAACATTTTAACAGCATATTATGAATTCATAGATAGAGTAGATGATCAATTTTGGATATTTTTAGCATGGTAATTTAGAAATGCTTCAAATAATATTAATCAATTAGAGTTATTAAAACACTTAGTAATTTCGTAAACATAAAGAAATGAATTTTTGGACATATTAATTTTAAAGATTAAAATTGAAATTGAAAAACCAATTACTAATATTAAAATTCATAAAGTTATTGTATCCTCATTATAAGTTGTCTTAGAAAGAAACCCATATTAAATAATATCATCAAATTTATTAAATTATATGACTACAATTTTAGCAAGTGATATAATTCATAAAGAATCAATTAAATCTTTTTATTATGTTATTGGGTTAATAGGTTCTTTTTTTGAGCATTAACATTTAGTATAATGTGATTCTAAGGAATATGAATAATTTACACAATATTTATTTTAATATTTGTTAAATTAAATTGAATAAATTAATTGGTAAATTTATAATCATTAAAGTATAAATAAAGAGAATTAAAAGGAAAACTTTAAACTATTAACAAAATTATGTTAAAATCATTATTCTCTTAGATTATTTAAAAATAATAAAGAAAAACTCTTACATTTAATTTATACATAATTATCTAATTATATTGAATTATATAATCAAGTTTAAAATGAGGATACTCCTAATGAATTAATAGATTTAATTAGTAAATAAGAAAGTGATACTTATTTGTGTTCAATAGTAAGATTATTTGTGGCTATGTGTTCCTATGTTCGATAATTTACATATACTGGATATCTACTTTGTGCTTAAGTTTTAAATACAATTTTTTAAGTAGAATTACAATAAATAAATATTATAAAGAATTAAGTAGCATTTTATTATGATCCTCAAGAAATCAATAATATAAATTAAATTATTAAAGTAAATTAAACATTACCTATCACACAATTATAAACATCATTAATTTTACTTACTTCTATGAAAATATTTATAGTTGATTAGGAATTCACTCTAAAAAAATTAGAAAATTTATTAAGGATTCATTTAAATAATCTAACTTCCTAAATTGGTAATCCTAGTTTCAAAATTATATTTATGCTTTTCTTATAAAAATATTAAAAAAAAATATTTAAATAAGAATAAGATGAAGAATTTAATCTTTAATATTTAAAATATATTTTATAATAAATTACAACTGAAAATATTGAAACTGCAACTGCTATTACAGTTTTTTAAATGATAACAAAATCATCATCTAATTATACTCTATTAGAGAATACTATACAACACATAAATCCATATATATAGAATATTATTTCTAAAACAACAGATATTGATTTTTTTGAATCACTTATTAATTTAGCAAAAGTTCATAAAGAATTTTTTTATAATTATTCTGAAAGTTACTTGATTATTTTATAATAAAGAATAATTATAGAAATAAACAATCAAAATAATCATGCTGTTATAAAGATGTTATAAACATTTAGAGTAATTTATAAAATATGGCCATAAGAAGAAACCTATAATTCTTAATTGGATGTTTGGAAATTAATATCATATTTACCTTAATCAAAAAGAAATTCATTTGATGAAGAACTTGTTGAAATTTCAAAAATTTTTCTTAAATATTATTGTAAGAATTTTAATCTATTATAATTTTAGAAGATAAAATACAATATGAATTTGTTTTACAATTTGTCATATATTAATTAAAAGTTTATATATCACAAGCTCCTTATATTAAATTTTTAGCAGCTTTAAATAAGGAATAATGTCAATTTATAGCAGATGAAATGCCATAATTAATGTATGATGTAATTATTTTGAGTTTTTAAAATAGATATTTATAATTTGTTTGAAATGTATAGAAATGAATTATTTAATCAAAAAGATAAGAAAAATTTGTAGAAGTATATCTTTGTATACAGATTTATTTTTTAAATAAGAATTTTAAATTCTTATATAAAATCATATTGAATAAACTTAAAATTAAAGTTAATCTACTTTTTTAATTTGTTATTTATGTATGAGTAATTAATAAGAAACTGAAAAATATCATGATTATTTAGTAAATCGAATTTTAGAAATATAAGAACGTGATGTAACTTTATAAAATTAATCTGATATTTTTGATTGTTGTTATGCATTAATAAAATTATATGAATACACTTCAGAGAATTTTGGAAAATCTCAATATCAATACAATCAAAATATCTTTTTTAAATTAATAGATCTTTTGCACTCCTGTTTATTACTTGATGACAAAGAGAGTGAATAAAAAAATATCACTTTAAATGAAGTTTATGAATTATTTTAATAAATGGTTTTTAAAATTTAATCAAAAATACTACCCAAATATTTGGATGGATAATATGAATATGAATTTAAATTGCAATAATTAATGTAAGCAAAAGCATAATTTGGGTTAATAAATACCATATACAAACAATTTAAAAAATGAATATTTATTATAGTGTATAAATGTTTTAAATAAATTATTTTAAATGTCTATTTTATTTTAAGTTTATATAATTCTCTTAGTTCATTTTTTTTTATATTCAATTTCTATCTTAAATTTATTAGAAAAATTAATTAGAATTAATGAATTTAAAGAAGAAGTAGAATAATAAATAAGTAATTATTATTTTATTATTCTTATTAATTTAGAGAGTTTCTTAAAAGTTAGACTTTTGATTGTATGATAGATTTATATTAGTTGAATAAGGAAATATATATAAAATATATATTTTTTCATTTTGTTGATCGCTTAAATTATGCATAAAGTAACATTTTTTAAGCCCTTTGAATCAATTATTTATGATATTAAATCAAATCATTAGTTGATAGTTTAGATATTGTTGTTTATTTTTTTTATGAATATGTTGATTCGATGTGAAGAGTAACTTATTTTTTAAAGGGAAGTGAACTATTAGGTGAAATAGGGGTTGTGTCTATACGTTTTTCTTTGCTATTAGGTCTGCTTGCTGCTTTCTATTTGATTATTCTTTTATATGGGGAGCATTCACCAGCTTGGATCTAAGGTTATGAAAAAACTCTTGCTCTGCTTTCTTCTTATTTTCGAGATAAAAATTCATTCAAGAGAGTCTATATTAAATAATTTATTATACTTTACATTTACGTTCTTTGGATTTTAAATACTTTATTTAATTAGTTATTCTAATTGATCCCTTTCAGTTTAATGAAAACTTCGAACAGGAGACACATTAGTTAACCTTAAGGATAGTCTTTCTGTTTTTGGGGCTTATCGTTTTTGTTTTATCTGGACATGATTATGATTATGTAGTAATTAATTATCAATCAACATAAAATAATTATTCTTAGCATTAAAAATAGATGAATATGTATGATATATTATTTTATATATGTTAATATATTTAGAATATAGAAAAAAGAATAAAATTCATGGAACAATTAAAGGATTTTTATTAACTGATTTTTTTTTAGACTAATTTAATAAGTAAATGATCATTTGTATTTATTTAATATAATGTAATTTTTTTATATATTAAAATACTAGATTTAATCTATATTAATATTTAATACAACTATAATAAAAACTTTATTATTATTAGGTTTAATTAAAATTAATTATTTAATAAAAATGGCTGGAATAGAATAAGAAGGAATAATAATTGATGAAAGTAAATAAGGTATAAAATTATTAATTAATGTAGATTTAAGGATGAATTTTGCTGATGAAATTATCATTGATGATCAACATATTCTTACAATATCAGCTGAAAAGATGTTTGAAGAGCCCTAAAAACGTACACGTAAATCAAGATGGGGAGGAAGACCTGATAGAAAGTGTGCTAGACCTGAGTAAAAACACTTGCAATTCAATCCTTTAGAGGCCATGATGAATAGAAAATGCATATTACCTGTAGGAGCACAAAGCTTAGCCCCTCCTGTACCTATTGGTATGGCTTTACCATGGGGAATGTAACCAATGCCTGTGATGTCTCAATCATATGGCTACAATTTTGTGCGAACAGATACTTCTGTATTGGGATTTGTTTAATAATTAGCATACACGATGGGGTCCTGAATATGAAAAAACCTTTTAGCCTCCTTCTTTAAATTGTATTCCTCCTGATCTCAGTATTGATGACTTAGAATATATCATTAGATTATATTGTCTTGATGATATCAATTAAAAACTACAATAACCAATAGATAGTAAAATGGATGATCCTGATTTAAGATCTCCTTCTCCTGAACCAGTATATGATTAACATGGAAAGAGAGTTAACACAAGGGAAGTTAGAAGAAAAGAGAATTTTTAAAGAATTAAATGTTCTTTGACTGAAGAATGTATTAAGATAAATAAAAACTTTGTTCCTCCTCATGATTTTAAACCTTTGAAAAAATCACAAAAAATATATTTAACTGATACATTAAATGCTCCTGATACAAATTATATAGGTCTTATTTTAGGACCTGGAGGAAACACTTAAAAGTTCTTGGAAGGCAAGACTGGATGTAAAATATCAGTAAGAGGGAAA